GCCCAAATCAGGCTCTTAAGCAACGGCCCAGTGCCCTCATCAGCCTAGGGAGGGCCTTTCGTCTAGCTGTTCCTTGGGATGAGGTCCTCCTGGGCTCGAACCTAACATGAGACTGTGCCAGCCACGTTGGATGTATCAAGGGGCCACGGCTGTGCCACAACCTTCAACTCATCTGTATCACTGGTCAGGTGGTGAAGCACAGAAAGCCCGTACCCTGAAAGCTGCTCGTGGAGGGAGGGAGATGTCATGACCTAAGGAGCAGGAAGAGACTGAAGAGATCAGAGTCAGGATGCCCTCAGTGTTGCACAAGCTCACCTTTACCAGTGAAATGCCAATGAAGTAGCTGCCAGGCTTCAGATGGAGACTAGATCTTACAGTCTGGCAGGAAGGGAACTCGTGGATCATGACCAGTAGTGAGTTTCTGCACCTTACAGTAGGGATGCTTTAGTACACAGGAGTCCCTCTACCTCAGACTAGTTTCCTAAAGGATCAGTTCAGCAGGCTGACTTAAAACCTCTCTACCTGAAAACCATGGTGCCTGTCATAAAGCCTGGGAGCTGTATCAAAAGCTCTAGTGTCAGGGCTGTCAAGGAAATCCAAGTACTGCAAGGTATAGTGTGCATACCTTTAATCCCAGCACTAGGATGCCTGCCTGCTTCACAGGCAGGGGTTTCTGAGTTTGAGGCTAGGCTGGTTTACATAAGGAGTTCCGGGGGCAAGGACAGAGCCTGAATCAAAACAGCAAAGTAGCATCTACTCAGAAAGGAATAACATCAGCACAAGCGAGTCCAAGAGAAGAAACATGCCAAGGCTCACAGGACGGCAGAGGTCAAGTGGCTTCGACACCGTGGTGGTTGTGCCTCTGGCATTCTGGATGGCCAAGGAACTGAAGCATACAGGTCTCTTGTTTTGGACTGTAATCACCCGGCTCCTGGGTGATGGCCAAAGTGGCCGACCAGGATGTAACAAGTCCCACATAAGGACAGGTTTCCACATGCTTGCACCACCATCACCCTGGACTGGAAATCCCATTACAGGAAATCCAAGAAAAGAGGACTTTTTTCCTGGACTCTTACTGCTTGCTACACACACACACACACACACACACACACACACACACACACACACACCCAGGCACAAAGACAAAAGCACAATTTTGCTGCAACGTGTTTAT